GTTTCAACCATTGGTGTTTACCTTCTTTTATCTCTCCTGTTCATTTTTATCTTACTATATATCTTATCTTACTATATAATGACGAAAGCTCTGTCTGTGGGTTGACTTGAAATTTGGCACAGTGGTAGAGGGTCATGGGAGGATGCCAATGAAGCAATATTACATCAACTGGCCAAACGGGGGCGCTATAGCAACTGATTGAAATTGCAAACTTTGAATGGGCATATCCCGTATGTCGTAGAGACATGAAACTTTGCACAGAGATGCCTCTCCTCATGAGGAACAAATTTGCCTCAAGAACCCATAACTTCCGGTTATATAGATTTTCCGCCATGTTGAATTTTTTGAAAAAACACTTAAAATCGATTTCTTCCTAGGAAGTTTGACCGATCTGCATGAAACTCGGTGAACATAATCTAGGGACCAATATCTAAAGTTCCCTCTTGGCAAAAGTTGGAAAACTTACTAAAACTGAGCTTCTATAAGGCAATGAATATTGCAGAGGGCGTGGCTCATCACATAAAAGTGTATAACATCTCAAGGGTTTCACAGATCACCACGCAACTTTGTAGGCATATGACCACATAATCTGAGGGGACCCCTCCATTATTGACCCCATCAAACAAAATGGGGGCGCTAGAGAGCTAATTTCTTATCTAGGCCTAACCACCATATCGATTTTTACTAAACTTGGTAGATATGTAGAACAGGACGCCTCAAGGTGACTGGAGAAATTTAGCTCTAATTGGCAACTGGTTGGCACTATAACAACAGAAAAATGCTTAAAAATGGCTAAAATGTGACCGATCGCTGTGGCTCCCCCTGTGGCTGTTGTTGTTTTTTTCTTCTAATTTTTGATATGACTAAGTCATGGTATGGTATGCTGTACATAATCATGGAAACTGTCAGTGTGTCATTCTGTCAGTCAGTCATTCTGTCTGTCCCATGTTTTTCTACTCACTGATGTGGTCAATCTATGTGAAACTGCACATAGGCATTGAGGACTGGCATAGGTAGAAGGTGACAAAGCTACCAATGGGTATGGACTAGTTCTGTTTTATTTATTTATTTACTCTCTTTTTATTCTATGGAGTTTTAATCTCCATCTTTTCTGTTAGTTTGTTCTGTTTTGGTTGGTTTGCTTTTTTAATATTTTATTGTCTTGTGTCTGTGTCATTCCAATTTTGCCATTTAAGGCACTTTGGGCTGCATGTTTACATGAAAGGTGAGAGATTTGAAACAGACTTCTGAAACATGTCAGTTCAAAATCATGTTGATAACCAAATTTCATAAAAAAAGGAACAGTGGTAAAGTATCAAGCTTATAAAACAATCCTGGGTATGTTTCTTTGAGTTTCAGTTAAAGAGAGCTTCAACACCCCACACAGATGATTCAGGTTAATAAAGTAGTTGCTGCTGTTGTGTCTTATACCAACATTTAATACTGGCTCATTTAAAACTAGCCACAGATCCTTCAAGTAGCTTCAGTTGCATAACCTTAAAGGGAAATTTCGGTTTATTTCAACCTGTCTCCTATCGTCCTAAATTTGTTTCAAGTGACTAGTGACATAAAAATAATAGTTAGCATGTTAGCCGTTAGCCTAGATACAGCCGGGGCACATACGTCCTAGACTTAAGACTTTCCTCTTTGATAAAGCTTATAGTTAGGGCTGGCTCAGGCTTGCCTTGTACCAGCCCCTAGTTAGGCTGACTTAGGCCTAGTCTGCCGGAGGACCCCCCTATAATACACCGGGCACCTTCTCTCTCTCTCTCTCTCTCTCTCTCTCTCTCTCTCTCTCTCTCTCTCTCGTATCCTATTACTGCATCTTGCTAACTCAGCCATTCTGGATGTCACTAACTCGGCTTCTTCTCCGGAGCCTTTGTGCTCCACTGTCTCTCAGGTTAACTCGTATTGCAGCGGTGCCTGGATAGTGTGACGTGTGTGGTTTAGCTGCTGCCGTGGTCCTGCCAGAAGCCTCCTGCTGCTGCTGCCATCATTAGTCATACTTCTATTGTTATTATACACATATGATTATTGTCACACATGTATACTGTCAGATATTAATATATACTTTCAACATATTGTACCACAGTAGCCAGAACTATAATTATAATATTATTACTTTCATTAATGTTGTTGTAAGCTACTGTTATTACCATCTGTCCTGCATCTCTCTCTCTCTCTCTCTCTTTTTCTGTCTCATTGTGTCATGCGGATTACTGTTAATTTATTATGCTGATCTGTTCTGTATGACATCTATTGCACGTCTGTCTGTCCTGGAAGAGGGATCCCTCCTCAGTTGCTCTTCCTGAGGTTTCTGAGTTTTTCCTTATCCGCTGCGAGGGTCCAAAGGACAGAGGGATGTCGTATGCTGTAAAGCCCTGTGAGGCAAATTGTGATTTGTGATATTGGGCTTTATAAATAAAATTGATTGATTGATTGACTGATTGATTGATAGTAGCGTCAGACCTGTTAAAACGTAAGTGAACGGGCATACTTCAAGTGCAAAGTTAGTCCACTAAACAAGCTTTTTTTCCACAAAGACCGCCTCATATCGTTAGGATAAATGTCAGAGAACATATAGAAAACGACATGTAAATGTGTTGTCTTACCTTACCGGTGTGCTGCCATGTTTGTTTACCATTTAGCTCTGCTTTCCAAAGCGCGGCCGAAATATCGCGAGAACCAGCAGCAACAGCTGGAAGGCAGAACCGGACAGTAACCTGAAGTTCATTCATTTATTTTATGAAAGATTTATAGAGTAATGGCTGACTTTTTGCCAGACTTCGACTTTGTGGAGGAGGAATTTGATTTTGCAGAGTTTGACGGCCGCCCTTATTTATTTGAGCCAGAATACACTGACGAAGAGCTTCGTGAAATTGAAGAACGGAGGAGGAGAGAGAGATAGGCGTAACAGGTAGAGGACGAGAGAGGAGGAATGGCTGCTGCAAGGCTGCGTAGCTCTGGAGATTGGTGGTGTACCTGTGAATGCTGTGCCCCAGTGCCCACAGAAGAGGAATGCCTCTGTTGCAAGGAATGGGACCAGTTGCAGCCTTATTTTCAAGGTCTGGATGTGAACAAGGACGAGACACCTCCACCTGGAGTAGTATCCAGCTGGGCTTTATCTAGAGCTCGTGAGATTTCAGGCACGGTATGAGATCGCTGCTTGTTCTTGCAATATTTCGCCCGCGCTTTGGAAAGCAGAGCTAAATGGTAAACAAACATGGCACCACACCGGTAAGGTAAGACAACACATTTTCTATATGTTCTCTGACATTTATCCTAATGATATGAGGTGGTCTTTGTGGAAAAAAGCTTGTTTAGTGGACTAACTTTGCACTTGAAGGTATGCCCGTTCACTTACGTTTTAACAGGTCTGACGCTACTATGCGCCCCGGCTGTATCTAGGCTAACGGCTAACATGCTAACTATTATTTTTATGTCACTAGTCACTTGAAACAAATTTAGGACGATAGGAGACAGGTTGAAATTTCCCTTTAACCATACATTACCCTGCTACAAGTGCCATGCACAGATTCATTTTACATTTAAAGTTTAGATATGCTATAGATGAATAAATTAATAAATAAATAAATGAAACTTTGCAGAATCATCCTCCATTGTTATGTTGGTGAAAGTCAGAGAAAAGCGAATCCACTTCACACCTGTGACAGTAATACTCAACAGTGCTCAAGTTGCGTAATTCACAGTGATCAAGGACAAGATTTCTTAGAGAAAGCTTTGAGTGTTTTATGAGAGAATCTTGTGAAATACCTGAGAGACAATTCTCCCTTTAAAAATGCTGAAATGGGTGGGAGGGAAAGGTGAGATATTTTGACGTAAATCATTCTTTACTCTGCTTTAGCTTTTTAATATGTGGATTGTGTTATTTATTAGTCATCCAAATATATAGAAAATCACACTAACCATTGAATGCAGTGCAGTCTCAGAGCCCTTTCACTATCAGTGTGACGACAGTAAGCTTCTGTGGACAATGGCCAACATTTAAGGGGTTCCGGTGTAGCCTGCAGATCTGCGGGCCGTAACTTCCTCCTCTATGCGCCAGACATTAAGTCTTATCTCTGTAAACAGACATCTGTATACACTGACTGTATATAATGGATGTAGCTACTGTGACATCACCAATTGGTTTGCTGACTCCTATTTTGAAGCCTCGAGTTCTGCATTTTGGACTTTTTGAGCCAGAGGTGACCATATTTGGACGAGAGGCTGGAGCTGTGGAGAATTGGGGGATGGATCTGTCTCACAGACTGTGGTGATGCCTCGCAGACAGCCTGTCATTCAAACCGCCCTTATGTGTAACTTTAAGCCTTTATAAAATGTAAAGCAGTGAGTTATATAAAGTTCACTCCCCCGCACAGTTGTCATGAATTGAAAATAGCTATAGAGGCCAAAGCTGTATCTTGTACCAGGCTGTAAACATGTTTATTTCTGCTGTTAAGTTGGGCGTTTTAATATAGAGGTCCATGGGGACTGGCCCCAAGTGGCCATTCACATAGCTGCAGTTTTTGGCACTTCGGCTTTGGCTTCATTTTTCAAGACGTTGCTGCTTGTCTACATATGGATGCAAATACATTTTAAAATAAAAAGCTATAAAACTAAAACGTCATCAAATGATAACTGATGCTTCCAAGACTGCATTTGGCCAATGTGTTCCACCTCTCTGTGGGACTGTTTACCTACAGGCAACCAAAGCCTGCTTAAACACGTTCGGTCAATACTACTCAGACTACAAACAGAAATCAGAACACTTCTGATACCAAAATCATGTCTCCAGATTCTGTTTTTACACAATGCAAATGGGGATGTTGAAACCCCCCCAGAATGAAACAAAAAGGCATGGTATTATCAGCGTTGGCAATTGCTTTCATGCCACAGCGCAGTTCCTTTACTTTTAATTTAAGTCATGGTAAAACAAAAGAAAATGTATTTTTGGGAGTGAAGAGGATGAACCTCATTAAGGGGCTTTTTGCCTTTACCTTCAGTGAAGATGACAGGCGGAAGTCTTCCCTGTGGCAAGACCTCAGGCGTGGTGAGACAAGCAGCTGAGAGCATAGACACACACTAACGCACACACACACACACACACACACACACACACACACACACACACACACACACACACGGAGTACAGCTGTTAGAGAGATAGGCCTACAACCCAACATCCTCACAATCAGTACAGGCTGAAGAATCTCCCAGAGTTTGTGTGAGGGGACAATGAAATATTACTCAGTGCAACCTGACCCACATGTGGCCCTATATTTTGACATTTCCTCAACAACAAAAGAAGGCTGAAAGATAGTTCATGATTTTAAGTGTGCTTTTGAAATCTTTGTTTCACCACAACTTTCTATGTCAAGATACCGGAAAAAACAAACAGATAAAAAACTAGTTTTGTCCCTCACGTTATTGTTCTTTGGCTTCTTTTGTCTCAGTGTGAGTCACAGTCAGACTCTAAGTTTTGAATTGTTCCCATAATGCCGTGGGAGATGTAAACACCAAGCATCAAGTATAATATTGCCTTGTAGTTAGGAATTTAGCTAGTTGACAAATTGGCACCATTAAAAGTACGCTGAATTAACTATTAGTTATGGTTTGCAGAGTACCATTTATGAACCAACAGCTATCGTTGGATTATTTTAATACTGAAAACAAAACAAAACGTGCAAACGTAATAAATCTCAGGCAAGTTCTGGAGTTATAAAGAAGCATTTTTTTTCTTTGAGATTTTTGAGTGGATTTATGAATTTTTATTCACTGTGGAAGTGAACGTCACACAAATCTGTGTGTTGATGTGTTGATGATATCCTGACAGGCACTCAATGATTAGCTGTTGATTAGCTCATCAGTGTTGAGGTGTCCACAAGAGGCCCAACAGAGTCTGCAATTACACGTGTGCAGGCATCCTAGAAGCCACTTAAGTGATGGCATGGTGATTGTCATGGTGACTGTGTTGATGTTTTACAAATAAACGTGTTTGGGAATAACAGGTGTTCATTAATCAAGGTAAATCTAAACGCACCAAACTGGAATTGTACTTTATATGGTTTTTATGTGACAAATAAATTCATAGATTGATTGATCGATTGAGTGTTCCAACTCGTTTCAGGGCCATGTTGGGTTGGAGTTATCAAAATGAGGATTACGTTTGGATTGGGATACCACAAATAGTGAGTGTGATTTTTTTTCCCTCTTGTTCTTATTCTTCTTATTGTCAACAAATCCCATGAAAAGACCAAAGCCAACAATATTTTGATTGGTCCGATCAAAGCCTGGTAGGGCTCCTCCATGTCGTAGTGCTCTACTGTCATCTGAAAACTATTAAAAACAGATCAGTGAGCCACATTTCACTGGGTGACCTTTATTATGAACATGAGAGCTGCAGTTTATTTTTATTGTAAGTCAGTCCTACACACACTGTCCTGGTGTTGTACATGCTCAGAAAGCAAGTGTGTATTAATCTGTATCTGAAAATAGTCCCCAACAATTACACCCTTCACTGTCCTGCTGTTTGAGTAAAGTTTGCTAGAAACGTCAGTGCCCATTTGCCACAGGAAATTAGCCTTTTAGAAAATGATTGCCAGCCTTATCTTATACACAACCAGTAGTGTAGTGGAGGGTATACTCAGGTATACGGGGTATACCCACTTCTTTTTCTATCCAGTTACAGTATACCCACCTATCAGCTAAAAAGCCATTGTAATATATAGGAGAGTATGCCCACTTCCTCATCAGTAACCTACCTATCTACCTAGCAGTACACCCACCTCATCAATTACCACTACACCACTGTACACAACACTATCATCACAAAAATGTTTGCATTGTACGTTTCTGCAAACCATCGATACGTTACATTTGTACATTATTTTGAAGCGGAGACTTTACATTTCTCAACTAGATCTCACCATAACAAGGTGCGGTTAGGTTTTGGGCACAAAACCCTCTTGTTTGTGGTTAGGAAAAGGTCATGTTTTGGCTAAAACACCCAGGTGTGGTGCCACAAATGTAGCTGGGAAAAAACAGCTGATGTTGTTTGTTGGTTTTGAACCCTTTTCCTCAGCTTGGCAGGTGTCTTGCCTGGGTGACACACCATCCACAGTCCCCTCCACTTCCTGATGACAAAGATTTTATACATACAAATGAAACAAAATGAAAATGATGGAATAAATGTGATGCAGGCCTGTTTGTTGTAACATTTTCTTCTGGTGACTGGAACGCCTTTACAACAGGTCGCATCTTATTTAATCTCACATTACTGGCTTTTGTTGTTTGTATTTTTTCTCTCTAGCTGTTTGTAATGCTTCATTGGTTGCTCTCAAATAGGATTGGCGGTGACAAATCTTTTTTTAAAAGAAAATTAGGTGGAAACACTACGTTTTGCATGACTGCATATTAATAGGCTGGTGTGTAAAGAGAAGAAACATGACAGGGACAGGGAGAGGTTGCGTTACTGGATTCTCATTGGCTGACAACACTGGTCCTGGTGAAGATTTAGAGCAGATGCTAACATGCTCACCATTTTCATTTTGTAGCATGTTTACGTTTGCTTAACACAAGGTACAACTGAAGCTGATGGGAATGTCGTTATTTTTGCAGGTATTAGGTCATAAAATGAAAGATTTTCAGGGCTTTTGTCTTTATGATAGAAAAGCTGCAAAGTGAGAGGAAAGTGTAGAGAGAGAATGCAGCAGAGCGCCGCAGGTTGAAAGGACTGAGTTTACATGGGGCGCATGTTCTACCTTTTGAGCTAGGTCACCCTGACACAAAGACATTTAAACTTGATAGCACTGGATCCATCTAGTGGCCATGAATGTGCCAGATTTCATGGCAATCCCTCCAAGAGTTATTGAGATATTTTAATAACATACAAAAACGTCAAACACATGGTGACTCAAGAGGAAAAGTCAGTCAGGCTGGGAATGATAATGTTTTGAGTGTTTGTACAGAATGTTGTGTTTTTGTGCCAATCCATTAAGTCGATGTTGATATATTTTATGAATAAGTAAAAAACTTTAATACCTGTAGCAGCTTTCATGGCACTACATTTGATAGTTGTCAAGATATTTCAGTCTGAAGTGGTGGACCATTGTGCTGCAATAGCTGCATTTAGGTGTAGGTTGTTCATGCATGCAGTGAATCTCCTTTGACAGGGCTGTGTCCCTGAGTGACAGGTCAGGCATATGTAGGAAGACCGTGGGGGCTCGGTCAGGGCTCTCAGGCCAGGTCGCGGGATGCACAGAGGGGTCATTTGCAGTAATGATGGACAGGCCGGCTCAGAGCCGCCCGAGGCCGTCTGCCACAGCACATGAGCAGAAAGACAACTTTCTCCTCACATCTTGGCCTGTCATTCTGTCTGTGTTCGTTCCCCTCGTGTTTGTCACAGAAGTGCCCGAACAACACATTCATACACACACCGACATAAACACGTAACAAGTGTTACTTTCTTTTTATTGTTGTTTTATCTTTGGCAGTGTTCTTGTTTTGCTTACAGCTGTGGGAATAAGTTTCCTCTGGCAGCATTAGTTCTTACAGCAGAGGTTTCACTTCACCTGTCACTGTGGGTTTTTAATAATATAAACAACCTGTAAAACTAGAAAACATTTAGTTAAAGGTCCCGTGTGTAGGATTTATAGGGGTAGTGCACCCAACATGAAAATTCAGCCATTATCTACTCACCCATATGCCAATGGAAGCTCAGGTGAAGTTTTAGAGTCCTCACAAAACTTGCAGAGATCCAAGGGGAGAGGGGGTAGCAACACAACTCCACCTAATGGAGGCTTACGGCTCCCCGGATTCAAACGTCCAAAAACACATAATTGAAAGCACAGAATATCTCCATACTGCTCGTCCGTAGTGATCCAAGTGTCCTGAAGCCCCCACGTAAAAAGCTGTTTGGAAAAATGTCATTTGAACTCTGTTTTTAGCCTCATTGTAGCCTGTAGCTCTGACTGCCTCTCTGTGCACCGCGCTCACGTGTGCACGCTTGCGCGAGACCGTGAGACATAGACACAGCGTTCATGCGTGTTCACGTGCTTTCGCTGGTATCGCGCGCAAGCGAGTTGTGTTGCTTCTCCCTCTCCCCTTGGATCTCCACAAGTGATGTGAGGACTCTAAAACTTCACCTGAGCCTCCATCAGCATATGGGTGAGTAGATATGCTTGTTACATGGGAGAAGTTTAAGTTCTGTAGCCCCAAAGCTAGATGCCATTAAATCCTACACACTGGCCCTTTAAAACTATAAGTCACACCCCTTTACCCAGGCAAAGCCTAATATTTTGTTCCCATTTAAAAAAAATAAAAAATAAAATCATTTAAAAACATAAAAATAATATTTCTGATAATAAATAATTTTGTCAGGTTTTGTAAATATATATTAATTCTAAACAAAGATATAATGAAAATTATTTTATTTCAATATTAAGACTGTTTTCACATTTTTTCTGCCTGATTTTTCCTGATACCCAATTACAATAATATTGTACCCAGTAATTATTACATAGCTGCCTAGTAATTAAAAAAATATATATTTCTAAGTCCCTCCTAAAGGTCCAGTGTGTAGGACTTACTGGCATCTAGTGGTGAGGTTACAGAACTGAGACTTCTCACATGTCACAAGCATGTAGGAGAACTGTGGTGGCTGATACAAAAATGTGAATGGCCCTACCCAGAGCCAGTGTTTGTTTTGGGCCACTGTAGCATAACACAGCAGACTCTGTGGGAGAGGACCTGCTCCATAAGTAGATATAAACGGCTCATTCTGAGGTAACATTCATGATAAGTTTTTAACAGGCAGTCTTAGAGAGCCTGTCCAGTTACAGCATCACAGCTTGATTCGGTAACCTCTCTCATCCAAAATAATTGGTGTCAAAGAGCACATTTCCATGCAGACTAGATTTGAACAGGCTGCTCTAAGTCAAGCCAATGAGATCATCAGAGACTCCTCTCATGATCTGCATACAGAGTACGAGCTGCTGCCCTCTGGTAGGAGATTTACTGTGCCTTGTTGCAGATTAAACAGATTTAAAAATTCATTCATACGTATGTCTTTAAAGCTTTTAAATAATGGCAGATGAAGCCAGAACTGGCATTGGGTTATGATGATTTGCTGATTTGCATTTTTGTAGAGGTTTTTTTATTTGATGTTATTTACTTAATTATCTTTTTGTGTTTTTCTGTTTTTCTGTTATTGCTACTACATTTTTGCAAATAGACACCCCTAAATCGAACACACTGGACCTTTAAACACTAAGATGCTAACCCCTGATGTCCTGACCTTTGGTAGCTATAGGCTGTAACCCACCAGACTGAATAGATAACTGTTGCTGAAACTTAATGAGCATGTGTGTATGCGTATCTGCATTCGTGTGTGCGTGCTGTCTCCATCCTGTCAATGAGTGCCATTCTAAATTACACAGTGCTAATGGACGTCATGCCCACCTCACTTTAGTTCGTCAACAGCTGCTGCATGCCTGAGCAATCAGACACTGAGCAGGAATCCTGACAGTTTCATTTTCACATTTATAAATGCTTTTAACCAATTTCTGGTATGGAAATAGGAATTTTTGAAGGTCCATCAGAGGCTGAAGTTTATTTTAGTGGCATTTTCTCTATACTGCGATTTTAAACTCTGGGGCAAAATATGTGAACTAAAAATGTGATTATGCGGACATTATTAGGAAATATTGTACTGATCTTGGTTCGGAAAACAGTTGATCTGCTCAGCTATTTTCTCAAATTGCCTCCTCATGAACAGTTGTCCTTTGTGTGTCAATATGCAAAACAATAACTGCAACAATTTCAGTGAAACATGCAATTTAAAATCAACAGGACAGATTTAGGCATGGCTGTGTGTCCATGTGGTCAATGCATGTGTGCATCAAGAGACAACACATGGAAAAAGTTTATAATTAATACATTTATACAGTGCCATTATGACATTTACATTCCCAGTGATTTTTTTTGTGCTGTGTAAATATGTCTTCTGTAAAAGCATTGCTCATTATCATTCACTTAGTTTAAATATTTTGATGACCGACAGTGCTGTGCTAGTGGATAATTAGTCCATCTACTACTCCAGACATGCATAGTGCTGATCAGTTTTTAAAATGTAACATATAGCAAATTAATATCCTTTGACCCATTAACAGTTAAGCGGTGTAAGCAGAGTCATTTTTCATATGAAAAGGCTTATGTGTGTGTGCAGCCTGACACATTTTAAGTCAATACTCAAACTGAAGTTGCTTTTAAATAACATAAATATAGAATTGTTTTTATCCCTTTGTGTGATATTTATTATGGAAAATAGCTGTTATTTAATACCACACATGCACTTGAAAAAGAAAATCAGATGGGATAATCTTACCTGCATTTGCACTGTTACGGACCATACAGCTGTTGTGCAGACAGAGGTTGATAACAGGAAAACAATCCAGTATGGAAGTGCTGAAGTACAATCCAATTAAAAATCCTCCAGTGAAGAAGAAAGTGGAGTCCTCTCATCATTCATTCTCCTGAGAAGCACACATTAAGTGCAAAGCCTCTCACACACTCCAGCTCTCTGTCCCTGTGATTCAGCCTCTCCCTCCTCCTCCTCCACTGTATCTCTCTTGTTGTGTGGAGCACTGAACCTCCAGTCCCTTACTCCACCGCTCCCCCTCCCCGCTCCTCCCCTCACCCTCTGAATGGATTTCCGTCCTTATCACGTGCACATGCACTCCCCTAAGAGCTTCAAGGTAAAGTCCACGGCAGCTCCTTTCTCATTTTTTTCCTCCCACGTTTGCCCTCTGATGTGACTCCCCCACCTCCTATCATCTTCTTCTCCTTGTTCCTCAAACATCTCTCGTGCTTTGTTTGTTACATCCTCCACTCTTGAACTCTTGTTTTCACTCCACCCTTAATCATACTCATTTTACTCCCTACTTTGTCCTCAAACTAATTTTAGCAGCTTTTCTTTGGTCTAAACCTTCATTCTCTGTGCCTTTCATGTGTCCAATTTGATGACAGTGTTAGTTCTACCTTTCCCTTGGATGCTGTAAAAACGACAAAGAATGAATGAAAGGAGATGCAGATAAAAAAAAAACAGAGCCGGAAAGAGATACTACATTGCACTAATGAGAGGTGACCCTATTACAGTATGAGATGGGGTAAAATGCATTCATCCTCTCTTGGGCATTTGTCCGGTTTTGCCCCCAGTGGCCTTGGCCCATGTGCACAGTTTTGATTATGCCTGGCACACGGCTCACATCCCGTCCTCTTTATTGCCCCCGGGGAGCAGACACCACAGCACTCAAGTGAGACCGCCTCCTCTTAGATATGATTTGAAACACTGGACAACACGTTGCAGGACACGTCACTGATTTGCCCTTGCCTTGACACCACCTCTGCATACAAAAATCTCTCTGAGATTCATCGGAGAGGACATTGAAACTGAAGTGTAAATTGAAGCTTGCATTCCAAATATGAATGCTGAAGAAATGTTGATGAGGCCGGAGCGAAGGATGAAAACAGTAATGTACATGCTGAGCACTGTCATGTAACTTAATCCTCAAGGGTTTTGTAAACCTGCCAAATAAATAACTATAGGGCATTTTCCATGTTATAGTATGGGTCATATTGTATATCTGATTCTGCTCTCCAACAATCTGGCTTCTGGGTGATTACATGTGAGCTCCCAATAGCCTGAGTGACTGGTCTTGTAATGCTACAGCACGTAATAGATACACATATTTACAGCCTGCGGTCAAGTATTGTGATAAGCTCTGAAAAAGTCATGCTGTGAATAACAAGGCAGGCTTCACCTGTATTTAAACCATGGTCTTGGTGGTTGATTCTGATTGGCTGCAGGGCGTCCATTTATCTCTGAAAATGGACACTTGCTAAGTACTTCCAGTAAAACTATGTGTTAATTTCTGAGCATGCCTTGGAGCTTGAATCAGGTAGGGTTCACCCCAATTTCCTGATGTTAGATATTGTTAGAGCGTTCTTTTTCTATAAGGATAAACAAACATATTTAGTTTCACTCTGCTTGGCTTTCTGCTGCTTTATCTCCTCTGAGTGCCCAGAGCATACTCTACTGCTCAGAGAGTGTGGTGCTCTGAATAACCAAATGGCACTATATTCCAACAGTGCTATTAACAAACCAAACGGTCCAGTTTGTGCCAGAGTGCCTTCTGGCACCCAGAGTGACTATTTATGGACACAACCCATGTCACAAATTCCTGTTACTACAGTGAAAAAACTCAAGTTAAGTGGAAATGGGTTTTGGGCTCAAAACTGCTGCTTTGGTACAGGCTTGGACAGAAACTAAGGTGGTTTGTGTCGGGTCGGGACCAGAGTTGGGTATAACGCGTTACAAAGTAACGTGTTAGAGTACTTTGATTACTTTTTGCAGTAACGAGTAACCTAACAAGTTAGTTTGCTGTTTGAGTAATCAAATAAGTACATTTTCAAACAAGACATCAGTTACTTCCGTTACTTTTAAAACGCTGGTCCTTCAGCTCCAAAACAGCAACGGCTGTCATTTGGTTCTAATAACGGAGATAAACCTATCAGCCTGAAAGAAGCCACGGAGCTTGTGGCTCGCTATGTGGTCGGAGAAATGCTGCCGTTGTCTATGGTGGAGTCTAAATAGGTGGAGTAGGACTCGCTGACAGACATATTTCAGACTCAGGACTTGCATTATGCCTGGTACACGCTACACGCTGGTGCTCACCAATTATCCCCAGTCGTCTTTCACGGCGTGTGTGATGTCATCAGGTTATTCTTGTCCTATTTTATTACTTTTACTGTTATTTGAGTCACTGTGTCTGTTCATGTGCCAGCAGACATGTTGTTGTAGTCACCTAAAAGCGTCAGCAGATGGCAGGAGCTTCATTTGAAGCACCGTATGTAAACATCAAGTTACTGTATCCTCCACAACCAAGTTCCTACAAATATTTCAGAATAAAAGCCTATTTAGAAAATGGAGGGATTCTCTAGCCAAGGTTATAAGGGGCTTTTAATTTGAAACAAGTGTTGAGTTTGAAATGACGGTACGATATGTTAACTTTAGGAAGACAACGGAGTTGATAAAAAGTAAATATATAAACACACAGAGGGTTTAATAAATAACGGACCATCTATAATGTAGTTTGTTTCAAATGAAGCTGGGAGCCTCTACAGTTGTGGTGAGTAAAAGCCCCGCCGCTATTTGTTAAAGGGCCAGTGTGTAAAATGGGTTGAAAACAGTGACATCAGTGGCCAAATTCTAGATTGCAGGGCTCACTCGCTCACCCCTCCTGTCGGGTAAATGACGGTGGCCTCGTAGGGACAAAAAGCCTTGCACACGAGTTTTTCAGGAGTAGGTCTATCTAGTGACGAGGTGAATATTTATTTAGAAATCTAAGCCATGTTACGATATTGTAATGAATCCCCTCATGAGCAGGAGACCAGAGGAGCGTTCGGGAAAAAGGCCTGTTTATTTGAGCACTCCAGAAACTCCGGTAACACTCCAGGGGGTAAAAGACTCTGTCCCAAACTCTGACTCTTCTAGCGTAACAGACACACTTCATAACTTTACACACATACTCGTTTACCATCCCGAGTGGGGACCCCCCTCCCCTCTCTGCTCCACCAATCTCCAGCCCGCACACTGACTGACAGCGTAGCCGGTAAACAGAACTCAACTGTTTATTTAGCCTAGCAATATCTCCGGACTATAGTAGCTGCAATGGACGACTTTGAACGCGATTTTGAAGAGTTTCTTGTAGCGGACATCCAGAGCCATACATGTTTGAGCCAGAGCATACAGATGAGGAACTCCATGTCTTTGATGCTGAGCGGGCGAGAAGAGAGGCTGAATGCACAGAATGGGATTCGGTGCTACTGCTACCATCGTTGGGAAATATATCACCAGGAGGAAAAGCGCCGCAGAGAGTGCATCACAAGGAGTGAAGTTGCGTCTTCTTTTCCTCGCAGATGATGGTTCGGGTTCATTCTCTCCTGTTGCGTGGTAAGTGTGGTCCATTCGCAAACTTTATAACTAAAAAAACTTTTCACTACTCTCTATCGACGAACTACTAACACTCTCTGCTGTTTCCTCCTCCTTCCTTCCTTCCGCTGTCTTCGTTGGTTCATTTATGCACGCGAAACACATTCTCTGGCTGGCTGGATTGTCCACTGGGTCTGCCGTACATACATGGCAGCGCAAGATGGCGACCTCTCTAAAGCAAGGCCCTTGCTATATATATATATAAAAGCATAATTATAAGGCTACAAAAACCAAACAAATTTTATTTTATAGCGATTATACACTTATATAAACATATTAATGGGTAGAATATTCAGATTCAGATTCAGATTGTCAATAAACCATGCCAAATATTACACACTGGCCCTTTAATGTTATTACTTTATGTCCGACCGTGAGGATGTACCATTGTTTGTTAGCTTGATGCTAATGACAGTAACATACGTTAACTCAGCGGGTTGACAAAGTGCCTCTGCTGTTTCACACCATCATTTCCCCCTTTTACTCTGTGTGGTAACATCCCCAGAGGAAATATTAAAAACACTGGGGTGTTGTTGTCATATAGTTGTCTACGGCAGCAGATCGTTCTGTGTTTCTACTGGTCAAAGTGACGGCTGTGATGGGAGAACTGGATCTCAGTGAAGGGCAAGTGGTCCATAACTTTAATTTTGGAGACAAAAAAATGTAGGCTTAGCACCCTGTGGTCCATTGCCCAATAGGAAATGTAGAATACTCAAAAGTACTTTAAAAGTGCTTGAGTTACTTTTCTCAGGGAGTAACGTTGGAAGTACTTTTAAAGTAATTGAGTTACTTTACACAGGGAGTAACGCAGTAAAGTAACTGGTTACTTTTTTAAAAAGTAACACAGTAACATACTTTGATTACTTTTAAAGTAACCCTTACCCAACACTGGTCGGGACTGATTTTTCAGACCTAATCACACCTCTACTGCAACACGTAATCAACTAACTATCTATCTATCTAATTACTTAATGGATAGACCTGCAATTGTATAGCGCCTTTCTAGTCATCTAGTGACCACTCAAAGCACTTTTTACACTACGAGTTACGTTCACCCATTCACACACATTCATACACTGGTGGCCGAGGCTACCATACAAGGTGCCACCTGCTACTCAGTTTTGACACACACTGACACACCGATGGATCGGGAGCAATTTGGGGTTCAGTATCTTGCTCAAGGATACTTCAATATGCAGCCTGGAGGAGCCTGGGATCAAACCGCTGATCTTTCGATTGGTGGACGACCCGCTCTACCTCTGAGCCACACCCGATGTGGCCTTGCTGTTGAACATACTGTTGAATTATATTTTCTGTTTGTCAACAGTAGGCAATCTTAGTGACTTTAAATCTTGTTAGCATAACATTAGCTCTCTGGTTCACAGCTGAGGCAAAGGCTTTTATGAGCTGAGCGTACTGGAAATATCACCCATTACCAAGTCATATCTAAGGTTTGTCCTATTTACTGGAGCAGTGGACAACATTTCCATTGCACTAGAACCTCATGTGATGGTAATTGGTCACTTTCAGGTGTTACCAGGGAAACCAAGTATTGGCTTGTGAAAAACTTTGGATATTGATTGCAAAACACTAAAATACGGGCACGTCCCACTGGTAGGAGGCCCCAGGGAAGACCCAGGACACACTGGAGGGATTACATATCTCATCTGGCCTGGGATCGCCTTGGGGTAGCCCAGGAGGAGCTGGAAAGCGTTGCTGGAGAGAGGGATGTCTGGGGTGCTTAGGCCTGCTGCCCCCGCGACCTGGCTCCAGATAAGTGGATGAAAATGGATGGATGGATGGAACACTAAAATATAAATGAATGGTCTTCCTTTATTTTCTTTGGAAAGTCACCATGGTATAGAAATACATAATCAGAAATTAATGGACCCTGTGGAGGCAACTGCTCGCATCAAACATTGAAAGGTTCTGGCCTCCATGTTGCTGCCATCCCTTAATTCCTGTCACAGATGTCACAGTGTGCATTCCTGACCTTTCATCCATGCCATTCAGCCAGCTCGCTCAGTAAATTTCCACTCATCCTGCCTCTGTGCCACTACCACCAATCAGCCTATCACCTGTCTACACCTTTTCTTGCTCCTGCCGGTCCATCCCAGCCACCTTATCAAGGCAACTCAGTTTACCTGTTCCTGATTACACCCTGCCAGTGTATAAACTCCAGCCTCACAGACTCTCTTTGCTAGATTGTTCTTTGTCATTCCCCTGCACGACTCTTTAGCCTTCATTCTTGGATTGATTACTGGCTGCTGACCCTGCTTGTCTATGACTCTCCTGCTTCGCCTGCCTCCCGGAAAACACCTCAGCCTTCTGTCCCCGACTTCAAGCTCTGCTTCTGCGTTCCTAGTGTGTGTTTGCTTGTTCCCCTTGGCTGTGAAGAGATTTTCCCTGACTACTCTACAACGCAAGTTAACCTGCTCAGTTGCCTGTGTTTTCCTCAGCTGTGGAGTGAGTCCTTGTGAGGCTGCATACCCCGCTTGAAAATTTGGTTATTTTAACTATGTTTGGATGAAAACCCAACTAGTGACAATCACTGTTTAATTGTCATGTGGACTGGAACTTTTTTCCCTCTATTAAACAATTTATGCAAGGCATTGCTTCGGAGTGAAGCTAAATTGCTCTATTTTAATGCTACTTTTTGGGTTGGTGGGGTTCAAAGATGTTAACCATGTGAACGCAATGATGTAGACAATGACCAATTTTCTGTCACATGTCTACCGTCTACTTTCAAATCAAGGTTCCAAAAACTGTGAATGAATGTTTCAAAACTGTCTGCCAGTCCATGTAGTAGATATTGGCAGATTTCTCAGTGTAAGTGGAAACTTTGACCTGCTGGGGCACTAAATAAAAAGTCAAAGGATCACCAAAGTTACAAGAATTCATTCAGTTCAGTTTTCATGGCAATCCACCTTCTAGTTGTTCAAATATTTCAGTGTGGACAGTGACTGTGAGGTTAAAGGGCTGAATTTCAGAGAAGTGCTTTCTAACTGAACAGCCTCTGTGTCTGATTCACTTAAGAGCAAACTTGCCTCGAGTCACTGAATATTGTAAAGCTTTAGTGACACCGCCACCATGAAATGGCTTCATTTGAAATCAGTGTTTGATTTCCAAGATTTTCATATCCAATTACATGCTCAAACTGATTATCCAGGATATCGTTTCTCAGGGTTCTCAAGAGAGCGTTTTAAATCCTTTTGCATAATTAAACTTTCAAGTACAAGATATGAATCTGAAATCTATCCATCTAGTCAGGCTTGTTACATGTGGGAACTCGAGTATTACTTACTGCATGAAAGGGAAAGGGAGGCTTCCCCTCCATGTAGTTTCTGCATATTTTCTGTGTAGGTATTCATGTATACTGTTATGATAGAGATACACACTCTGCACACATCTGTCCATACTTTAAGTGGGAGGATTTTTATTGGATCTTTTAAAAGTGATAATAACATTTCTTTCATCCCTTTTAGTATTTTCATCCATCTCATAGTGTGCTTAGTCATTCGTTTTGGCATGAGGTTGACTATATTGATTGCTAGGAACTCTGAAATAGACCATGCCTGCTTACTTTGTTTGTACTGGCATGATATTAAAACCTGGAAAATGGTATTGTAAAATTGTAAAGATGAAAAAGAAAAATGCGAAATAAGATGATTATAGTATCTTATACCAAACACTGTGACCTGTGTATACTACTGTGCCTTATGATAACACTTTGTGTTTGACGACTGATCGCCATAATACTTAAAGGTGCTTAATTAACAATGCAGCAAACTTTTGAGACTAAATATCTCGTCATAATTATAAACCTCTGTCAACCTGCATGACCTTTTGCAAACAGTCAAAACACTAGTGCTGGACGTTCCTCCCTGCAGCGCACGTCTGACTCACTGCTGTCACAGTTAACTGTTTACTGCCAGGAATTTGATGGAATATTGCGTGTTCTTGTTCCCTGCTGAAAAATCTAATGAGTACAATGTGAGCTCTATTTTATGTATTAACAAATTAAACAGCACAGTGTGCTGCAACATCAGCACTGTCTCCAAGAGGTAAAAATGTTAGAATCAGCCGGCTATGTTTACTTTCAGTAAACTATGGTGCAAAACGCTGATGCAAACAGTACAACCTGTCTGGTTTTACAAAATTGTGAAACACTGACTTGTGAAATAGTTTTACTTTGCAAAACCGCCACTACTCTTCCAGCCAACACAGGATCCACAACTGAGCTGAACAGTATAAAACAAAGCTGATTCAAGCAGAACTCCACTCATAAGGGTTAAAACACAATCCGAATGATTAAACTACTGAGTACACTCACATGAAGTGTTGTGTTGTATTTTTACATTACTGTGTAACTGCTGAATTCCCTATATCATACATCATATCAAGAAACTTTCACTGTAGGTGCCCTTAAATTTCAGTCATAGATAAATGCCCCTTTCCAGAGTCCACAGAGTCTGTGGAAAGTCTGCCAACTGATGCACACCAAGATTTCACAACCCTTTATTTTAGTTTCCGGGAATAAGTCGTTTTTATGCCAAGCTGAAATTTCCGAGGCAGAAGCTCTGCCTCTCAGCAGATATAAATACTCTCCACTCCATAATGCACACCAACCCCGGGGGGGAGAGATCATAACCACCACTGTAGAAGATTAAAATTATTAACAACATGTGGTAAGTTAAGATATTCTTTTGTAATTTTTAAACATTTGTAATTTTCTCTTCCTCAGTGCCAAATGTTTTATAGTGAGCTTTATCATGATCTCAAGTGTCAACATAATTTTAATATGAAAAGTCTGATGTATCTTTTAAAAAGCTTTCTACATTGGTGGAGTTTTCTAATGAATATCCAGAAATGCAGTGTGAGCTGTTGTAAATCAACCACTTAATGATCTTACTCTGTAACTGAATAACTGACTTGTTTATAATTTGTCATTCTTTATCCTTAAATGAACAATGAGATATGTAATGTTCATTTTGTGACTTTGTTGTTTGAAGGTTTTCTGTGACTGTGCTCCTGCTGGCTGCATCGGCATGTCTGCCAGATGTTTCAGGTAACACACACTAACATATACAGACGTATAGTGAGTAGAAACAAAAATATCCAGTAAAATGTATTATTATTATTATTATTACTATTATATTGTTATTATTGTTTTACTTTTTTAGTATTATTATTATTTTATTTTTATTTATTTATTTATTTTTACTTTTTTTTAGGGTACTGAAATTTTAGGGAATTGCTAAGTTGCATAGCTACAAACCAATGTAGTGAACAAACTGATTATTTGACCTGATTAGGATGTTCAGTATGAAGTGAAATTCACAGCAACCCATTTAGTGATTGTTGATTTATTTTTTTTATTTTTTATTTTTCCTGTTAAAGGTTTTTTTGGGGAGTGTTTTTCCTTATCTGCTGGGAGGGTTCAAAGGACAGAGCGATGTTGTATGCTGAGGCAAATTGTGATGTGTGATATTGGGCTTTATAAATAAAACTGAATTGAAGTGATATATTTCACTCAATAACATCAACATCAACTTAATGGTAGTGCTAGACGAAAAAGTCAGCGGGTCATCAGAGTCTTTTGGACACATTGTCTGGCAACCATGAATGTCTGTCCAAAATCTTTGGGCCAGTCAAACCAGTAGATGTCATAGTGCAGTGGATTACCACACACCAAAAACATGATCTTTCTAACAAGGGAAGCTATTGTATGTTGACTTTGTAGGTGTTAACTTGTGGTGTAATGTTGTTGGGTTAAAGACTGGTATTAGGATGAAAGATACTCTGATTGCAGAGTTATTAAATAGATTGAGGGCAATTCAAAAGGAACGCCAATATCAGCATGTGATGTAGATTTGTTAAGGAGGCGTGAAACTGGTGAAGACACATCATCTGTGTACATTTTCCCATGGATGCTCAAGTTAGTAGTTGTAATCTGGAGCAATTATTGAAAACTTGTCTAGAATATGTAGAAATGGACGCTCAGGATTTTGGACATAATAAGAAAACATGGACACGCATAGACATCATACTAAAGTGTATAACACATGTCTAGCTGGTAAGCTGATTCTGCAGTACAGCAGATAAGCTCTCATATCATAACAATTATGCATCCCCACATGGGCATCCCCAATTCAGCTAGGAATGACAACTTAAATGTTTTTCTACATTGTTTAGTTTTGAAATTATATCATTGTACAATAGACCCGGTGGAATGTTGGGCATCTTGGGTTTGACCTCTCACAGTTCTCAGAGGTCAAATCTGACTTGCCTCCACATCTGAAAATAAACCTTATGGTATATACTAACTATGCTAGAAATGCTAGAAATGTGTCCATGGTGACTGATCCAGAGACCCAGACAGCAGCCTTTTACTTCAGACCACATTTACATGGGTCCAACAGGCTCCAGTTGTCTGAAGTTACTGTTTTACACCAACAGTTCCTCGACAGCTGCTGTTCAGATAGATAACTGCTGCATGAAATGACACAGGCTTTCCTGCGGGGTCTGAGGGCTGGGCTATTACTACTCATTTCAGATATTGTCCTTTAGTTGACTAGGAAGCTACAGTATCTGACAGGGAAATCGCCTCCTTCCATGCTTCTCTTCAAGCAGCCCTTAAAAAAATAACGATAAACCAAGCAGTCAGAGACCAGTAAGAGATGTGACTAAACTGACTCGAGCCCCATTGAAAAATCAGAGAAGGAATCTTATGAGGGAATAAAATGTAACAGAACTATCATATCCATTTTCATATCTCATATTCATGCAGTCTCTCTAATGCATCAAACTAATTGGTCGTGAATTGTGCTTGTAATCTGTTGTTTACTGTGTTGAATGCACTGATTAAACAAGACACCAGAAATTATTCTTTGCAAATAAACCATGTCAAGACGTAAAATAACAACTTTCTACTAATTACATCGTAAAAGTATACAAAGCATGTTGTCATTGCTTTGAAGAGACCACTTGAAGCAGTTTTCATGATTATCTCAGCCACACAACAGACTTGTGGATCAAAGCACAGCAAGTAGATGGATTCTTTTCTTTGCTTCATGATGAATAAATTAGAGGCCACTGTTTCTGGAGGAAACCCTCAGAGCATGAAAGCGTGGTGTACTGACGACAATGCTGCGTTTAACAGCGGATCTCTGGAATATGCTTTTTTTATGTGGTGCATGTTCTTCAACGTGATAAACCTGGTGTCACGGAAATCATATTTTATTAAATATGTTTAAGTTCTACATGAGGGAAAACAGGTTTGGAACAAAAATGCTGTCAACAGTGTTCAGAACACAAAGATAAACCACTCAAACTGGTGAAGCATTTTTAATATCTGAGCTCAAAGTAGCCATCTTGGAAAGGAACTCGCTAGATTGAGAAGAAATTACATATATATATATATATATATACAGTACAGGCCAAAAGTTTGGACACACCTTCTCATTCAATGCGTTTTCTTTATTTTCATGACTATTTACATTGTAGATTCTCACTGAAGGCATCAAAACTATGAATGAACACATGTGGAGTTATGTACTTAACAAAAAAAGGTGAAATAACTGAAAACATGTTTTATATTCTAGTTTCTTCAAAATAGCCACCCTTTGCTCTGATTACTGCTTTGCACACTCTTGGCATTCTCTCGATGAGCTTCAAGAGGTAGTCACCTGAAATGGTTTCCACTTCACAGGTGTGCCTTATCAGGGTTAATTAGTGGAATTTCTTGCTTTATCAATGGGGTTGGGACCATCAGTTGTGTTGTGCAGAAGTCAGGTTAATACACAGCCGACAGCCCTATTGGACAACTGTTAAAATTCATATTATGGCAAGAACCAATCAGCTAACTAAAGAAAAATGAGTGGCCATCATTACTTTAAGAAATGAAGGTCAGTCAGTCCGGAAAATTGCAAAAACTTTAAATGTGTCCCCAAGTGGAGTCGCAAAAACCATCAAGCGCTACAACGAAACTGGCACACATGAGGACCGACCCAGGAAAGGAAGACCAAGAGTCACCTCTGCTTCTGAGGATAAGTTCATCCAAGTCACCAGCCTCAGAAATCGCAAGTTAACAGCAGCTCAGATCAGAGACCAGATGAATGCCACACAGAGTTCTAGCAGCAGACCCATCTCTAGAACAACTGTTAAGAGGAGACTGCGCGAATCAGGCCTTCATGGTCAAATAGCTGCTAGGAAACCACTGCTAAGGAGAGGCAACAAGCAGAAGAGATTTGTTTGGGCCAAGAAACACAAGGAATGGACATTAGACCAGTGGAAATCTGTGCTTTGGTCTGATGAGTCCAAATTTGAGATCTTTGGTTCCAACCGCCGTGTCTTTGTGAGACGCAGAAAAGGTGAATGGATGGATTCCACATGCCTGGTTCCCACTGTGAAGCATGGAGGAGGAGGTGTGATGGTGTGGGGGTGTTTTGCTGGTGACACTGTTGGGGATTTATTCAAAATTGAAGGCACACTGAACCAGCATGGCTACCACAGCATCCTGCAGCGACATGCCATCCCATCCGGTTTGCGTTTAGTTGGACGATCATTTATTTTTCAACAGGACAATGACCCCAAACACATCTCCAGGCTGTGTAAGGGCTATTTGACCAAGAAGGAGAGTGATGGAGTGCTGCAGCAGATGACCTGGCCTCCACAGTCACCGGACCTGAACCCAATCGAGATGGTTTGGGGTGAGCTGGACCGCAGAGTGAAGGCAAAGGGGCCAACAAGTGCTAAACACCTCTGGGAACTCCTTCAAGACTGTTGGAAAACCATTTCAGGTGACTACCTCTTGAAGCTCATCGAGAGAATGCCAAGAGTGTGCAAAGCAGTAATCAGAGCAAAGGGTGGCTATTTTGAAGAAACTAGAATATAAAACATGTTTTCAGTTATTTCACCTTTTTTTGTTAAGTACATAACTCCACATGTGTTCATTCATAGTTTTGATGCCTTCAGTGAGAATCTACAATGTAAATAGTCATGAAAATAAAGAAAATGCATTGAATGAGAAGGTGTGTCCAAACTTTTGGCCTGTACTGTGTGTATATATATATATACCAAAGGAAAACAAGATGAGTCATTTGAACAAAACAATCATCAAAGACAAACTAAGTAAGAACAAAAAACAACAACCCTGCAAATAAACTTTAAAAGTTTATAGTAACATAAAAGGTTTGTGCTTTTGTTAGATGCATATTCTTTTTGTAGAGTTTAAAACAAGCTTTTACTTAATTAAAAATAGACATCATCAAAGAGAGCAGACAATAGATTGGAGGAAGTCTGGTTTGTGGTCATTGGCATACAAGATGGTTGTAAATAGTAGGAGCCCTAATATTGATCCTTGTGGGACACCCTTATCAGCATTGGGGGGACTTTGAATTATCAACATCAGTCAGAATTTTACCATTGTATTTGACATAATGTGATTGTTGAGTTTACATAACCTGTCTAAATTGTACATTGTAGGTCATAAGAGAACAATATGTGAATATGAAAGTAAGAAAAACAGAAAGTCATTCAAATACAGATCAAAAAGCAAGTCTATGGACACAGTATATAGTACATATATAAATAAATATATTCTTTTATTTCTTTCCCAGCCTCCAGGGTGGCATTACACCGTCCCAAACGAATGACTGGGGGAACCCTGGCTCCTTATGTCCCCTGGCAGGCCATGATCTACCTCAGTGAAACTGTGCTGGATGGAGGCTATGCAGGCGGTGCTCTCATATCTGATCGCTGGATTTTGACAGCTGGCAGAAACCTGTTTGTCAGGAAGCGTAAATCAGACATTCAGGGAAAAGCTCCTGTCATTCCTAAAGTGTACCTGGGAATCGTTGGACTGCCACAAGCTAACGCCTCCACAGAGGTCGCTGTAGAGAAGGTGAGCAATAAAACATTTGATTTGAAATGCAACACCCCAGTGGCCATTATTGTGTTTTTTACTCATTTCCAATTCTCCACTTAATACAATGTTTTTCATTTGACATGAAGCAATCATGAGACATGGCTTATTTGAACTTTCTTCCATTTTTATAAGTGTAACACGGCTACAATGCTGAAGCAACATTGTGGTTTCATCAGGAACTGAAAAAAAAAACAGACTTGATTTTAGCCTTTAGGATGCATGAGACTGAGGGGGATTTTCTCAACCATAAAGAAAGATGTAATCCCTTAAATGATAAGGCTGGTGATGTTTTTCTAACTATCAACAAATCCCATGCAAAGACCAAAAGCACAAATTGATTGATCCTTCTAAAAAATGTTGCCTTTGCTTCCAAAGCTCGATGTAGTTTGTTCCCATGTGCCACAGAACTCCATTGTACACATATACACACAACATATAAATTATTCTGATCATTTTCACTTGAAACAGCTCGTCCTGCCTCTGAATATCCAATCAGCCGCAGTGTGAAGTCGCGTTCCAACCCTTTGGGACGATATCAGCCTGGCTGGAAATCGCCCCGATTCACTCTCATAGACTTTCATGGACGTAAACCACCAAGTATCATTCATGTGCTCCTCGGATGGTCCGATTTACCATGTCAGGAAGTTGTTCGTCGGTACTTCATTGCGTGTTCATGAGCGTTTAGGTGGTACTGTGGAGACAACGTGGACATTACAAAGAAGATGTGTTGTATTTTATCACTCAGAATGTTTAAAAAACACGTCGTCAACCGTTTCCACTGAAATATTGCTTTACGGTCGGGAACTCATTTTTACGATTATTCCGACATCACATGAGGCAGCGCCACTGCGCAGCGGTCACATTCAAGATCAACATGGCTAATGTTTCCAACCAATCCAAGAGGCTTTTTAACCATATAGATTAAAAAGGAACGACCCAAAGTGGGTCCAAATTCACACCTGTTCTTCTCTATGGATTTTCTCAGCATTCCTCCTCCATTTGTCATAGCGAGAAGCCATTCATATCACGTGAAACAGTGGAACTGCAGCTTTCCAACAAGACCAAGCACTTGTCAGTAGTCCAATGTTTTCACAGCAAAAAAAAAATGATAAATTTACACTAAAATTGTGTATAACAAAGCTTTCATACAGCTTTGCACACACATTACTCTTGGATGGATTACTCGCGAATGCAGGGTCGCACAGAAATGGCACGCATATCACATGAAAGCGCAGGTCCAGAGCTTTCCAGTGATACCACACACATCATTGTGCTGTCATCTCATCACGCTATAAATACAGATCAATTGTCTACAAAAATAAAGCATGACAGGGCAGTAGTCACCATATACATTGAGGGGGACACGTTTTAATGGTAAAACAGGTCTCTGTTCACATTCAAAGGTATTTGTGTGGGCAAACTGATGAAAATTAGTCCGTTGATGGCCACAGTGGATTGTTCAGTCATTGCAGAGCCAAATTAATTCAAATTTACCCATTGAACAGGTCACCTTAGCCATCATCACAACAATTGTCCCCCCTGAGAAATTTGGCAGGAGCCGCCACTGGTGTCAAGTTCTGCCTGTTATATGTCTTCTTTCAAAATACACTTCCATTTTCACAGAAAATTTACTGTTTACATACAGTCTCTTTCTACGCCGGTACAACACCACAAATAGATGTTTTTTTTTCTTAAACAACAAACACGCATGGTTAAGTATAGGCAACAAAAACGCATGGTTAAATTGAGAAGAAAAAGAACAGGGTTTGACTTTAGAATCTTATAGGATGCGAACGCCGCTCTCTCAGGTAAAAGTTGTGTTTGTTGGGCCCATCTACCACCAACTCAGGACTTTCACATTAGAGACTGGGGTTTGAGTTTGTAAATAAATGCTGGATAATTAATGTGACTTCTTATCGAGGCTTTTAGGATGTATAAAGCTGCTGAATGTACACTGTGTTCATAAACTTTAGCAGAATAGCTGAATAGACCCATTCATGTTGACATTGTATTTCACTGTCACCCAGGAATGTACACCTGGGTGTAAATAGCCACATTTGCTCTTTCACCATGGGCACAAATAACATTGCTAGCACAGACACCTGGGTGCTAATAGCACCTGCTGTAAAAAATATATAAAAGAGCCACACCATGCGTCGTGTGGCTAAGTGACATATTTCTTGGCCACTGTAGTTTATTTTGAGTTGATTTACACAGTGCTGCTGCTGGAAATACTCACCCAAAGTGTTTCCATCCACTGTTAAAAAAAAGTCCCAAACAAATGCACTATTTATTCCTATTTGAATTAGGCTATGTTTTCTAAAAACTTTAGTGACCAGTCATTTAAGGAATTTACTGAACCTTTATGTGTCAAACTAATATTCCAGTGGCTTTGGAGCTGAGTGTCACAAATAGGCTGTGATATTTGGAAACGTACTGAGAGACAAACTAACACATTGGCATTTGCTGACTGTGACAAAAATACAGAATATCACATGACTAATCCAAAAACATAAAATGAGCAAGTGTGATTTTTACTGGACAGTGAAAAGACACTGAATATAACACTCAAACTGTCTCTCTCATGTATTTTCCTTTCCCTCCGGCAGGTTGTTCTCCATCCACACTTCCAGAACTACTCCGACTGGGACAACGACCTGGCTCTGATCCAGCTGAAGGAGCCTGTGGTGATGAGCGATAAAGTGACCCCCATCCCCCTTCCAGAGAGAGGCCAGGACCTGGCAGATGCCGTGGGAGGGTCAGGGGTTATCACCGGCTGGGGCTGGGGGTTCACTCTCACCCTAGCTACATCACTCAGACACCTCATACTCCCTCTGGCCGGAAACACTTACTGTAGGGCAGAATATGGACATACCATGCCATCGCTCACACCAATTGTAGACGACAACATGTTCTGCACCGGACAAACGATGTTACAGGAAAATGTTTGTTATGGTGATGCAGGAGGCGCTCTGGCTGTTACAGATGCTGAAACTGGGGACATCTACGCTGCGGGGATCCTTTCTTATGACAAGTGCTGCACCAGGGACAAGCATGCAGTCTATATGAAGATTTCCTCCTACTTGCCCTGGATCCACAGTGTCCTCAGAGGAGATACAGAGAGATCGTCTGATCTGCGCGCTGAAGTAATGTCTAAGATGCGCTCATGGCAGTCGTAGAGCTGCGGGCTCTGTTGTTTTTATTTTGTAGAAAGATCAGTGTAATGCACTGAATGAGTAAATGCTCACAGTATAACCATTGTCACTTAAATGTTATCTAAAAAGGAAAAAAATAAATACATAAATCCAGTAGTATGTGCAGTTCTTTCGGTTTGCAGCAATACACACAAATTGCCCTCCATCACGTAAGTAACTTCAGCAAATGCTCAAAAACCACGTGCTTACATTATAGTGGTAGAAATTACTCGTCTGTAAAGGAGGAGTATAGGAGGAACTAGTGTGACATTGTTAGAGAGCCCTTTTTATTCAATCTTTTGTCACTTGTTTTGTTGTGCACAGACGAGTGCGACACTAGGAAAGCTTTCCAGAAAAGACAGCAAGTGGGCACTTAAACCCCACATTTAAACGATTACTGCATCTCACCTCTTTTGGTAGCCTAAATAAAGTCATTTGCTTTTTCAGTCCACTAGATACATTTTCCAAAAAAAAAAATAAAGAAAGTGACTAAAGCGAGATGAACAGATGAACTTTATCTTATTAGATAAAAAACAGATGTTGACAAAGGTTTCTTTTGGGGGACATGATTTGCAGTTCAAAAAAGGTAATAAAGGTTGTTTCCTCTGAGAAGGTACAAACTCGATGTCAGAAATAAAAGTCAACCACTTTCCTAAAATCCATCCATCCATCCATTTTCATCAGCTTATCCGAGGCCAGGTCACGGGGGCAGCAGGCCAAGCAACGTCTTTCTCCCCAGCGACATTTTCCAGCTCCCCCTGGGGGACACCAGGGTGTTCCCAGGCTAGATGAGATTTGTAATCCCTCCAGCTTGTTCTGGGTCTGCCCCAGGGTCTCCTACCAGTGAAATGTGTCTGTAGGTGTAAAGTTTCGAGAAAACACGAGTCAGCTCTAGTAACATAGACACCATGTTGCCAATTGAGTCTGCTCCATAAGACAGCCATGGAGCAACACCAAAGGAGTCGTAGTGAGTGTCCACGACAAGAGTGGGCAGGACCTCCAACTCCAGCCAGACGACCCTCTAGACTGGTGTTGGCCCAGTCACAAGCCCCTTTTACACTGCCAGATTTTCTGCAAATGTTGGGCCGTTTTGCTGGCAAGCTGCGAGCGTTTAGACACACAGAGCCAGATTGGCGAGTTGATCCGAGGCGCCCAAATTTCCGCCTTGGAGGGTAGACATATTGGCAGAACCCTTTCAGTTTAAACAGACCGAGGCAGCCTTCTGCAATGGGAGGGGCTGTTGAAGACTTGTGGGAGGAGCTGTTGACACCGCCGCACGTGCGAGCCACTGGTGGTGGATAAACAGGAAACAGCTGATAGTAGGAATTAGCGAGCAGCTAGTAGCAAGAGGGAAACACAAACCTGACAGACACTGTAATGATGAGCAACTGGGGAGACAAGGAATAGCGCACCCTCCTTGCCCTCGCAAATGAAGAGGCCATTAACCATCAGATGACAAGAACGGTGAAGAACGGGCCGACTTATGAGAGAATCGCCGAAGGACTGACCAGCCGCAGCTTCCCTCCTACGTCACTGGTTACGTCACATGCTGAGCTAACAAGTAACAAGTTTTGTTACTTGCTCACGCCCCCCAATGCCCCGAAAAAGGCGCATTCTATATGAACAAAAATAGGTCGGCGGCATTTTGCCACACTCCCCGATTTTGTTTTTATACTGCCAGTGCTGAAAAAAGACTGATTGGGCTTTCCTGCAAATTTGCACAATTCCTATCTAAAAAGGGCTACTGATAGCTTTATTCTGAGCTCCACTGGTGACCATCTGGAAGCCGTTAGCTGTGGCTGAAGAAGGAGGTCTGGGGTATGGGGCTTTCTTGAAAAATAAAGAAGAATCAGAATCAGAATGCCTTTATTGTCATTGCAAAAAGAATTTGCAATGGAATTGAAAGTGCTTCACCTATTTCAGTGCTTAGGTAAAAAAAAGACAAAAAGAAACAACAACAGAAACATCCACACAGACATTCAATTTAGAATAAACTAAGGAATATACGTTTAAAAGCAACGATGCCCTCAGAGAGGATTAAAATTGTCATTATTGCACCCCAAAAACGAGCATATGCACTTAAGCTCATTTCATTTGCCCTGGTTGATGAGCCTGATGGCCCATGGGTAGAAACTGTTTTTGAGCCTGTTCGTCCAAGATTGAGACCTCCTGCCAGAGGGCAGAAGAGTAAACAGTCTGTGGCCAGGGTGTGTGCAGTCCTTTAAAATCTTGTTGTTTCTGCGGAGGCAGCGGGAGGTAGAGATGTCCTCCAGGGTGGGCAGAGTGCAGCAAACGGTTTTCTCCGCCACCTTAATCACCCTCTGCAGAGCTTTTTTTTCTGCTGCCGAACAGCCACAGTACCATAGCGCGATGCATTGCGCCAATACGCTCTCGATGGTAGAGCGGTAGAAAGCGATTCACTAGGCCTGTGGTGTTGGCTGACCAGGTGAGATCCTCTGAGATCTGTACCCCCAGGAATTTTAAGGTGGAGACCTTCTCCACCCTGACTGCATTGATGTGAAGGGGGGCCGGCTCTGCTCCATGCCTCCTAAAGTCCATAATCAGTTTTTTCGTTTTGTCTGTATTCAGGGACAGGTTGTTCACTGTGCACCAAAGGGACAGTTTCTGGACCTCATTCCTGTACGCCGACTCATCTCCTCCCTGAATGAGGCCCACCACGGTGGTGTCATCGGCAAATTTAATGATGATATTAGAGGGGTGAGCAGGAGTGCAGTCATGAGTGTATATGGAATAGAGTAGGGGGCTCAGTACACATCCCTGTGGGGAGCCAATGCTGAGGGAGCAGGTGGAGGAGCAGAAGGAGCCCATTTTCACCGTCTGTGTACGGTTTGTGAGAAAGTCACTTATCCAGGCGCATGTGGTAGGGGGAACATCCAGGTTCAACAGTTTATGGATTAGTGTGTCTGGGATGATGGTGTTAAATGCTGAACTGAAATCAACAAATAGCATCCTGACATAATTTCCTGGAAGTTCAAGGTGGGACAGGGCCGTGTGGAGAGCTGTAGCGATGGCGTCTTCAGTTGATCTATTTGACCTATATGCAAACTGATACGGGTCAAAGAAAAACACTAACCAGCATTAACTTGTTTAAGTGTGAGCCTGAACAAGCTAACCTTTAAACAAGCTAATGCTGGCTAGCCATCAGTCTACAGAGGGTGATAGGGGCATGTGTATCTGTGTGTGATGTGTCTCTGTCTGTCATTTTCATTGGCCAACAAATTGTGAAACTTATTGGAGATTGGGGTATCAGTGATTGGCGTGCCACCCGTCCTAGACTTTCCCGATGGTGTCCAGTTTATTTTTTGATCACTGGAATCCACACTTTGCACTGGTTCATTTTTTTATTTATTTTTTTGGGAGGTGGTACATTTTGCTTTCTTTTTTTTAATAGATTTTATTTCTGATTTTTTTTTAACACTTTAAGGATCCACAAACAAGAAATATAGATAGAAAAAAAGAAAAATATGATGAAAACAAAAAAAAATGAAAAATATATAAATTATTATAAAAATAGTAGTAATAATAATTATGATAAGAAATTATAAGAGAAACGATAATACACTGCCATCTCAAGGAAAAACAGTACAATTATAAGCCTGTTCGTACTATGTCCACAGGAAGGTTAAGGCAGAGAGACAGCATCCATGGGGTAAAGACCATGAGTGGTCAGGGAGGGTCGGATGGAGACCTAGTGTCCTGGCAGATCAAAGCACAGTGCACAGTCCAATGCAAGGAAGTAGTCAAATGTGGTTAGCAGACTTTCATTTCTCACATCAATACCTTGTCAGAGGAAACAACCTTCTGAACTGTAAGGTGCTAAAACTAATGCCACCATTTCCCCACAGCATGTGTTTAAGTTCAGGACAGCAATTTAGCGTTGCTGTTAACCTGCAGTAGGGCATAGCAACTAAAATATGCCTTAAAATGGTCGACAATACCATTTGTTTTCATTGAGCATGAAATGTGCACATAAGATAGATGTTAAGGTAGGTGGTTGGATGGGTCAACAAAATGTTGGACTTTGACACAAGAGGCAGCAGTTTGCTGTCTGTTATCTACTGACATGACTCTTATCTTTCCCTAATCTTCACCAAATATTTGAATCCAAACCATGTTTTTCCCCAAACTTGAACTAAGTTGTTCTTGTGCCTATACCTGAACAAATTCTAACCATATATGTAATATATTCAGTTTAGAAAACAATGTTGTTCTGGTTTTGTTTTTCTGCCGAGCGAGGAAAGAAAACATGCTGTTCTGGAGGACAATTTAAAAAAAGAAAGTGATTTCATTTGGAGAACTTGTTGATTTCAAAAGTCACCTGCAGTGCCCACATGTGATGTTTCACAGTTTCACACAGTCACCTTTGAGAAGTCATCGGCGTGAAAGCAGAAGTGGATGGGATAAATTTGAATGACACAACTCAGAATCTGAGGTTTTGCCCGCAGATGTTATTTTTTTCCCCCACCAGTAGCAGCAGGACTTGACAGATATTTTCGTCTGGCAGATGTGTCCACTCTGCCACAGATCATGAACTGCCTGCAAAACAAATGTTTTCCTCACGTCAGAAAAGTGAGGTGATGACAGCTGCCTGTCTGTCCAATACAATATGAGAGAGAAAGATTAGAGGAGGGAAGGAAAAATTGAAGTGCAAAGTTGGTTCTAGTTAGCAGAAGGCTAAACTATTAGCAGCCTTTCCTCTCCATCTTTAAAACGCTTTGCCGATATTGACACATTTTGTTTTGTAATGTCAGACTCTTATTTAGACTCTCTTTTTTGATAAGTCTGTCTTCCTCTTTCCGGATGCTTTGTAGTGTAGGCATGTGTTGCTAATGCATGGATAGCGACTTTGTCTGCAGGATTCTCTGCCATTGAATCAGGCTTTCACCATCTGAAGGGACAGACATGCACATCTGTATATGTAGAGCAGCCAATTAGATCAACCTCTCTCTAAACTCCCATCACAGGTTAGGTTTTCTAAAGCCTGAAAACAGAGCCAAGAGGAGGTGCAGAAGTCTAGTTCTCCCTCAGACCACTTAAATTCACAATATGCTTAAAGTTCATTTAGGGACTTTTGCCCAAATGAAGCCAAAATTA